AAGAGATGGGTTTTCAAAGCAGACTTAAATATATCCACCGACTCCTCTGATTACCTGATTTCAAGTGGCAAGGCGTTCCATAGCTTGGGTGCCACGCTAACAAAAGCACGGTCATGAAAAGAGTGCAACCTAGACCTGGGAGTGCTGAGCAGTTGGAGATCAGAAGATCTTAAGGACCTTGATGGAATATATAAATTTATTAGTTCCTCCAAGCAGTGTGGGGTGAGCTCTTTTAAAGCTAATGAAGAAAAGAGGACTGGTGGAATGTGCTCACGTAATGGTGTACATGTAAGGATTCGAGCAGCTGCATTCTGAACAAGCTGAAGTCTTGTTCAACTCGGGATCACACAAAAGCATGCTGCAAAATCATCAACGGCAATGGTTGCCACAAAATATCCCGTTGTAAAAATCTCGTTATTCAAAATATGAACAGGTCTGATCACAGTTCCCCCTAGTGGGAAACTGGGGTAGCAACTATCAATCAGCTCAGATTGAGCTTACCCGAGTACAAGCTGTCACGCTCTCTTAATTTAAAAAAAAGTGTGGGATCTGGACGTGATTGTGTCGGATGATTGCGTGGTGGTGAGATGGTGTAATAGACTAATAATGAGATAGTGTGGTGAGATGGTTATATTCTATTCTTGCGTATATAAATATGTTCAGGACAGTGGTGTAATGTGATCGGCGGAGGAGGTGCGGCAATCGGTCAGGTGGGACCCCAGTACAGGATTTGATTTGTCTCACACGGTCGTACCGAGGCTTTATATCGCGGCTCTTTCTGCCTAATCACATCACATACCTGTCAACCCCTTATCAGTACCAGCCATTTTTCGATTTAAAGCTTTCGTGACTGCAAAGATTCATCTTCTTTGGTTCTTTCGGTAAAGTCACGTATAATGAGAATAAAATAATAAAATAAAACAATAACATTCTCACGACGTTTCGGCCACAACACAAGTGGCCTTCTTCCGGTGAAAGGATGCAACCTGTCGGGACCACCTGTCGAGACGACAGGTTTGTTCCTTTCACCTGAAGAAGGCCACTTGTGTTGTGGCCGAAACGTCGTGAGAATTTTATTGTTTTATTCTATTATTTTATTCTCATTCTACGTGACTTTACCGAAAGAACCAAAGTAGTACCAGCCATATAATAATGCAATTTATAACGATTGAGGTGATGCTGCGAATGTGCAGAGGGATTGCATTCCAGACTGTTGGGGCAGCCACCGAGAAGCGGCGCATAGACGTGACCATCCTGGATCTTGGTTATCAAGAGGAGGTCGTGAGTCACACTGCGAAGGCATCTCCCGTGTGCTGTGCTGCAAGTCGTCAATAATGAAGAGAGATACGGGTGACACACCAATTCAGACCTTATTGGTCACCCCCTGGCCTTACAAATCTCAACGTTCATCCTCCAAAGTCCCATCACAAGGGAGAAACATAAACAAAAAATGTTGTAGGCCCGTATTGAAACGGATGTACGCCGTATGGACCTGAAACACTAAATTTCCTTGTACAAGAATACAGGTCAACCGTATGTTTTTCGTTACTTTCACGGTCTGTTGGGGAGCTCCGTCTTTGCAAAATGCAGCCACTACTAAATGAAAGCATTTTCAATAAAATAATTTTAGCTGCGTTTTAAATAAGTTTTGGTTCTTTTACACTGTTGAAAACATATCTCATTGTGGTTGTCAAGGGAGACCCAATTCGTCGCTTTGGTCACCAGAAAACCAAAGCACCCCCTGCCCCCTCGCTCGTTACGTGGCTGGTTCAGGAGCGAAATGCCAATGTCGAGGTCTGCTCATCACGAAAGGGTTTCAAGAGAGAGTTCACGTCCTTTTGCTATTCTTCCACTGAAGCACAGTGGTTTACTATATGGTCCGTGCATAGTTTGGTTTGCATAACGACAGTCACACTGTAGTTATTCTTTATTTTCCAATTACGAAGGAGATGTGTGCATTGGTCTGTTGATGTTCTGATAAAGTTGATGGTTCCACCAGCGTCTTCATGGGGGAATGCCAAAGCCAGGAGGTGTGCGATGTCTGGGTCTCGAATGAAGTGTTTATTATGGACATCTGCATTGTTCCACTGTTCACCAGCGTTCTTCCGGATCTGGATTCTAGGATGGTAACAGCCCAATCCCAGGAGGGTGAGGACTTCAGTCGGTAGCAGAGAATGTCGTTGAGGTCTTGGTTTATGGGTAGGTGGTTGACTTTGGCAATACAACGTGTAAACTCTGCAGTTTGCATGGATATTTGAGATAGTGAGATGGTGTAATAGACTAACTAGTGGGATAGTGTGGTAAAATGGTGTCATGAGATGGTGTGAGAGTATGGGGAGTAGGGGTGATAGTTGGTATAATAGTGTAGCATTATGTAGTGGTGAGATAGTAGGGTGAGATGATGTGACGTAATGGTGTGGTAACGTCGTGAAATGTGATGGTGTGATAAAGTGAGGAGTGATGGTGTGACCAGTCGAAGTGATGGTGTGTCGTGATGAGCTATGATGGGCAGATTAATTTCACCAACAGTTGATCTTATAGTCCATTATTGCTAAGCAAACGTAATGCTGGATAGACAGAACTTCGTCACTAGATGTTATTTCTTGCCAACTTTCAATAATCGCTCATGAGTAATGCAGAATCAGAATCAGATTATTTATACTGGAGGAATCCGATTAGCTATACAGCTATTTTTCACACGTCCAGTGGGGGCAGTTCATAACTTTACTAAAACAAACAAGACAAAAACACGAGAATACATTTCTGGTGATAATTGCCGGCAACTAAAATCACCCCTGTAGATCATGGCCGTTTTTAGCGAGTTAACTCGCCATGGTGGGTATGAATGGGTATGAACTTCATGTTTTATAGAACCACCTATGATCACGTGTGATATAAGGTTAACGTTAGTAATAGTATGATGTTGACACAGTATATATTAGTTTTGGGATCTGTTTTAAATACAACTGTGAATCAAAGCTGTCACCATTACGTTTTGTTGCTGTAATGCTGAGTTGTTGTTCATTACGTTTTTCAGCCAGCTGGCTAGGATTGGGTCAAACTTAGCAGAGCATAGAACTAAGTGTTTCTAACCTAAAATCAAAAGAAACAATGGCATATATAAGAATGACAGTTAAGAAACAAACAACATATACTATTAAAAAGGATTAAAATAAAATCAGGAATCTATGAGCACGGCAAAACAACTCATTCAAATCTACGAATCCAGCAATAGCAACAACCATAAATACACGTGGGATTCATACCACATGAAACAGGCTTAAGACTTCTAAGGAAAAGTAGCATACAAAATGTATAATCACACAGTTTCTGTAACTTATATTATAAATTTCCATAGCTTTACACTCCAATATCCAATATCATCAGCAGTAGCGATGCTACACTTGCCTTTATGCCCTGGCTCATGAGTGCGTGCTTTTGAATATAAAATTAGGAGTCTGGTTCTTGCCAATGTGCATTTTAGGTGGGTGCGAAAGAAAAGAAAACGGTTAGTCTTTCTTTAAATTGTAAACCTCACGGATTTGTGGAAAAATGCTCGCAGGACCTTTGCCCTTCGTTATCTTTGCTCCTAAAACTGAAAAGAGGCAACCAAATAGCCATGATCAATCTACTGCTGGATAAAGGCTTCCCCACATCGTCACTTTCCTTTACAGTCCAGCAATGCCCAGGGCTGGAAATGGGAAGAAATTAGTGGGTTCGCAACGGTTGCAAGATGTTATCTCCCTCGCCTGGTTTGCAGGAGGTCGTGGGTTCTGACCCACTGTACAACTGACCACATCACCGGAATCTGATAGAACTTCTCTCTGGCAAAAATAATGGGAAAAACCAAGTAACAAAACTGATGAATGAAGCCATCGAGGAATCATCCTCAGTGTGGAACTCGCATCTGGCTCCAATTCCAAATGGCTCACATGGTGGAGCCTAAACAGACTGAGAGTGTGTTTCGACAGATGCAACTCTCTCATGAATCATGGGGCTTTTGCAAATCATGCATCATCTCCTGAGATGCCCTGCAGCACCCCAGTGCACTCCTCAAAATTTGGCAATGGTAACACCAGAAGCGGTGGCCTATAGGTTGGTCAGGAGACACGAAGAAGAAGAATGTGCTCGTGTGTGGGTCTCTGTGCACATCTGTGGGTATCGATGTGTCTGTGGGTCACTATGTGTGTCTGTGGGTCTTTGTGTGTGTCTGTCGGTCTCTGGTCGTCTGTGGTTCTCTGTGTGTGTCTGTGCATGTCTGTGGGTCTGTGTGTCTGGGGAGCGATAGTGTAGCGATTAGCGCGCTGCGCTATGAACCTGGCGACCTGGGTTCGATTCCCGCTCACGGCCAACACCAGTGACAATTATCTGAACCGGTCCCAGGCCTCCCCTAGGTCGACTCAGCCTCAAATGAGTACCTGGTGCGGTGTGTAAACATCGCCACTAGGGAGACAAAGGCGGTCGGGCGTGGTGCTGGCCACCCACCCCCTCGTGTACTGTTCCGGCCTTCATAGGTGCTCGCTAACAGCACTTGCCCCTACAGTCTGTTAAGGCTATATGGGGGATTTTTGTCTTTGTCTTTGTCTGTCAGTATCTGTGGTCGTCTGTGAATCTCTGTGCTTGTCTGTGGGTCTCTATGCATGAATGTCGGTCTCTGAGCGTGTCTGTGAGTATGTATGGGTATCTGCACGTGACTGTGGAACTCTGTGTGTGTCTGTGGGTGTCTGTGCATGTCTGTGGGTTTCTGAGCATGTTTGTGGATTTCTGTGAATGTCTGTGGGTCTCTCTATTCGTCTAGGGGTTTTCTGTGAGTAAAAAAAAAATCTTTCAATCTTTTCAGAATGCAGTCAGATTAATTTTTTTACTCTCAATATGGTGTTCCGGATTGTTCTGGCCCATGGGTCAGTTTGACTTTCTATAGAGCATGTTACACGGTGCCTATGTAAGCTTTCTCCCACCAAACGCTCCAAAAATAAAACACCTATGCCCCCACAGCAACACACAGTAAATGAGTTTATTGTTCTGTTTGAGCGTTGTCACTGGGTGTAGCTCTGCCGCTGCACGAGGTACACGTCTCGCGTGAGGTGGCTGACGAGGCAAGGCATCTGCTTCTTGCCATTGTACTGTTCTTTCTTCGAATTCGATTGGAAGTCTCGCGCAATGCGGCGGGACACGCGCGTGAGAGACTGCACAAGCTCGACGCGCTGCTCCCAGGCTCGCGTCAGCTCTTCTCGCACGAACTCGATGAACTGACAGCTGCTTAATTTAGGCCGGTATGAAACGTAACCTGGTCAGATGAGGGAGAGGAGAAGGAGCAGCCAGGAGAAAAGAAGCACATGGGTAAACACGTAGATATATGTGCTGTATTTATTATATGAAAGTGGAGCACGAATTATAAACTCAACAATTTTGTGCCAGAGGCAAAGCTGTCGAGAGTGCAGGCATTGCAACTGCACCGGAGCTCATGGGCCAGAGGTGTCCAGGTACTGGGTTACAATAAGGGGGGAGGGAGAATTCGAAAGGGCCCCCCATTCCATTACATGCACAAGGGTCCATGCCGACCACGATGCACCAGTGGAGTGTATGAACAATTTTTTGTAAGAAGAAAAACACTTCTCTGTACACACCTTCCGGGGTGGAGAAAAATGTGAGTGTCTCGGGTGGTGCAAACAGGTCGTCATTTAGAATGCAGGCCTCGTCCAAGCTGCTGCTAGCATCGTCTCTGTTTCCAGACTCCTGAGTTTGCTCGCAGTTCTCGCCTTCCTCCAGCTTGGCGCCGGAGTCGGTGCTATCGCCACGGCAAGCCTGAACACACGGCCCCAGTAGAAGATGCAAACATAACGGAATTTTATGGTGGTAGGTGGCCTCTAACCTTAAATCGGCGTTCAGACCTGCACATAGCACCGATACTGCTCTGGTAAGGGTGGTCAATGATTTACTTTTGTCAGCAGATAAAGGCGCTAGTCAGCCTCCTCATTCTGCAAGATCTAAGCACGGCATTTAACTCCATTGATCACGGACGGGGTTCTCCTTGAGCAACTGGAAGTTTTAATGGGGAACTCTGGCATAGCTTTGTTCAGATTCCACTCTTAATTAAAGGATCGTAGGTACTACGTTTTCAAAGGATGGCTTAAAGTCACCAATTAGACCGGTTCTCTGTGGTGTTCCGCAGGGATCTGTGCTTGGCCAATCACTTTTTAACATCTATAAAGGCACCATTGGGTACTCTGCTGCAACATGTTGTCTACTACCATTGCTATGCAGATGATACTTAAATTTATATCTGGTTTGGGCCAGACTATGCAATAGCATCATCTGCGCTATCTGCATAACTATAAGTAGTGAATTCATGGTTGCGCCAAAACATTTTGCTACTAAATGCCAACAAGACCGAAGCCATATTCATCGGCTCCCCTCAGCATTTTCTAAAATTGGTTCGCCTCGTTTGTTGATTGATGGTCAAGATTTCAGTCCCTCACAGGAGGTCAGAAACCTTGGTGTTCAGTTTGAGCGGTCATTATCCTTTGAGGCACATATATCTAAGGTGGTTAAAATGTCCTTTTTCCACCGAGGAAATATTGACAGAATGCATCGCTTCCTGTCACCTGCTGACTTGGAGAGACTGGTCCATGCTTTTGTGTCGTCCCGACTCGACTACTGCAACGCCTTCCTGGCTGGGATACCGAGCAAAGCACTGGGCCGACTCCAGCTTGTTCAGAATGCAGCTGCTCGAGTGCTTGCACCACGTACACGATTACACGAGCACATTACACCAGTCCTCTTATCTCTTCATTGGCTACCGGTCAAATTCTGAGTGGATTTTAATATACTGCTCTTAACCTATAATGCTTTAAAAGGGCTCACACCACATTACTTGCAGGAACTAATACATTTATATATTCCATCAAGGTCCTTAAGATATTTTGATCTCCAACTGCTCAGCACTCCCAGGTTTAGGTTGTGCTATTTTGGCAATCGGGCTTTGGTTAGTGTGGCACCTAAGCTATGGAACGCCTTGCCACTTGAAATCAGGCAATCAGAGTCGGTAGATATATTTAAGTCTGCTTTGAAAACCCATCTCTTTAAACTGGCCTTCCCTCTTTAGTTTGGTCGGTTGCCCTGGTTCTGTTTTTTGCTTCCTGCTCTTCATGCATTGCACATTGGGATCCTAGGATGGAATGCGCATTATAAATTTGAATTATTATTATGATTACAATTATGCCTCTTAATACACAATGCTGCTAATTTTCTGGCAAGCTCAACTGGGACACATTGGCTGGCAGCTTCTGCCTCCAACAGCCCTGTCCACCGTTCAAGTAGCTGCCACCCTTTGCCCACATCACGAGGCGAGCATGACGCCAGAACATTTGGGCGACAGCCTTCGTGAAATGGGGACTGCCCTGACCAACACAGGATGTTTGGTATGTTTAGCTCATGAATCACCATCCCATTCCTATTCACAGCCATGCACTCACCTGTATAATGAAGAGCTTGAGTTTGTGTTCCCAGGCTTTGTTGTTGAACAGGCTGTAGATGTCCTTATAGTGCACCTTGGTGCCATCGCAGCACATGAAGTGTCCATGCCAGCCGTGGCTCAGGATGACGCACACGAAGGCCTCTGCATTTTTCCGATTTTCCGCGACTGTGCACAAATAAACATAATTGCCCACGCTCAGTTAAAGTTCTGACAAATGGCAGAGTCAAGCCTTTTGTATGGAAATAATATAATAATATACACTTCTAAAGAGCCTTTTACTCAGAGATCACAAGGCGCTGTACAAAAAACACATGCGTCCGCGCAGGCTCACACAAATAAAATCCAACCCCAAAACAAAGGATTCCAGAAAGAGAAAAAGCCCGCAAAAAAAAATGCTTCTTAAGACGTGATTTCAATAAAACGAGGGGGGGGGGGGAGTCAGCAGAGTGAACGTCAAGTGGAAGTGAATTCCACAGCCTGGGGGGGCCTCGCGAGAAAAGGCCCGGTCACCCATCATCCTACAGAGACGTGACCTCGGCACACAGAAGAGGCCAGACTCGGAAGACTGAATGACTCTTGTTTGAACTTATGGGCGAAGGAGGGCCTGTATATATGAGAGAGCAGCGTCATTGAGAGCCTTGTAGGTATGGAGAAGAATATTGAACTCTACTCTTAACCGGACTGGTTACCAATGGAGAGATGCCACCACGGGGGGGGGGGGGGGGGGGTAATGCGATCAGCAAGAGGGACGCGCGTACAAATCCTGGCAGCCGCATTGCAATGGACACGAGTCGGCGAGTGGACACAGTGGATTGGAAAGTGTGAGGGATAACTCGAGGTGGGACAATGGTGATCGTTGAATTCAAGGAGACTGTGTGTCATCCGTGCGACAAGATGAAGGAAATGTCCACGACTCGTTCAGGACTAGAGCTGGGCTTGATTTGTCAGATCAAGTTGACGAATGGAATAAAAGCTGTAAGTGACCACGTTCTGTGAACCAAAAATGGCAGCCTCACCAACGTCCTGCCTCCCGAAGGCAGGACGTTTCCGGGCTATCTGATTAAGCCGAGAAATCGAATCGACAATCAGTGGAGAAAATCAAATCCGCAAATAATTAATCGAAGAGCAGAGCAACAATGGACCAACAGTGGAGGCAGGCACTGGCCAATGTTCGTCTGAACAAGGAGACTCCTTTAACTGTTACTGTTGCTCTTATCATAATTGTCACAGAAAGAAAGTCACCTTGAACTTCCGCTTTTCTTTATGAGCTGAGCGTAGTGACAATAGCCGTCTGAAAGACCCTCTTAAAATCATAAAAAAATAACTTCCCGTGGATGGGGAAAGTGCACTTTCGTTGCGCAGCTCAATAGCATTCCTGGTTCAAAAAGTTAGGAGTCACTTCTACTTGTTTTTATAGTTTGTGCTTCTAAATAAATGGTTCTAATCTTTTTTTAGTTTTGCCACCAACTGCCTTACCCCCCTAATCAATACCTGCGCCCTCTTCAACCTTTTGCAAAACTTCTGACCAGCGTGCAATAATAGACCCACGTACCTCTGAAGGAGCTCTCTCTTTAGAGAGTGGAGGTCCTTCCGTGAGCAGTGGCATGAGCAAGCCATCGCCACATCATTACCTCCTACTATTGAAACGATTGTCAGACGAGAGGTATGATTGCGAAAGACTCACATTTTGCTGACCGTTGGTGTCGGCTAAGCTCGAAGCAGACAAACGGCTGTGCACACGACTCTGTGTTTGCTATCGTAACATCCTTCATATCTACATCTTGGCTTTGTTGAGGAAATAACAGGGCTTATTACTGTAGAGGTGTTAACTACGCACTGTTCGATAACCTGCATTGCCACCAGGTATAAAAGGGGCAGTGCAGCGTTACCTCTGGGTACATAACGGTTGGGGTCAGACAAGGTGAAGTGGATCGTAGCCACGGTTTGGTAAGAACCAATCAGCCAGTTCCACATGGGAATGTGTGATTGGTTATAGCTGGCCACGAACGAGTATAAGGGTGACCCAACAGAGCTCGGGGAGTTCTCTCCCTACACGAAGACCGAAGCCCGGGCTGAAGACTAGCTAGGACCCTGGACCCAGCCTTCCAGCCCTTCTGAGGGCTAAGGCTCGGGGACCCAGTGGTCAGGACCCACCGGGCCAGCAGTGGGTCAGATAGCCTCCCCTAGGTCTCAGCCGGAGGACTCTAGGATGGCGGTAGACGTGTAAGTCTCGCCAAGATAGGAGGCTGTACCTCCTTAGGTATCAAGGAGACCTGTGTGTAGGTTACGCTGAGTCTGGAGGCTGTACCTCTTTAGTGTATCGGGTGAGGGGACCAGATACCCCTCCGTGTGTGTTGAGGACTGTATAAGGAAATAATTAAAATAAACAGAGTGTGCCTCCTAAGAAGTGTATTCGTCTTTATAAACACTACATTACCATCGGTGATGGATATGAGCACTGATGATTATGCGAACGATGTTCCAGAGAGGGTAATTTGGCTGACTCTTCCATGCTGACCAGGTCTCTTGGAACAGGTGGAAATACCCACGCTTAACCCCACCAAAAGTTATCTGTTGATCAACTATTGCATTGTACCAATTTATTCTGTTGAGCAGCCAGGGGCGATGGGATTTAACTGCCGAGCCGGGATTACAGGTCCTGTGCCCTAACCGTTACATCATAGTAGCATCCCTGGATGTTTCTGTTGCACGTCGTCGCTTTAGATGTTCTGTGTTCATATTTTGTTTGTTGCGTTTGCACCCGACTTAAGAGCCGCATATCTCACAGGGCTATGCCTAATAAATGAAACTTGAAACTTGAAACTGTCACTCCGATCACGAAACTGCATTATTTATTGAGACATTATAAAAGCTGATTAAAAAAAGCAATTAGGACATCTCATGTAAACAGCCTCTAAGAGCAAGCTGTGGCAAAAAACTCTGGGTCCTATGACATTAGCCAAACCTCGTAAACAGTATTTATGAAAACGAAAAATTTGCATGAAAATTATTCGCAACTTTAAGGAATAGATTTAATGACATACAAAGCTGTGCAGCATTGCATGGTGCAAAAGCTGTCCACCTTAAATGGTAATTTGTGGTTTATAACCATCGACTCAAAAGAGTTAAGAAAATAGTAACTCATCCCAACGGTGCAGCAGTGAAACAGAGACCCGTTTTGTCCTAGTAAGGATTTGTCAGACCATAGAACGTAAAACGACGCAATGCCTGATCCATAATCACGAAGGAGACATTACAGCGATACATTCCGCTGCTCCTGACGCAGTTATCTGGCTTGACCATCTGATTGTGAAATTGTCGTTGTTGCTCTGCATATACATCAGCCATACGAAAGAAGAAGTATAGTACATGTGTAAAGACTGTGTCAGTAAGTCTCGAGGTGAAGACAGGGTGTCAGTGAGGCTGGATGCAAAGACAAAGTGCCAGCAAGTCTGGAGAGGTCCTTGGTTGGAAAATTCCCCAGAGTGTCCAAAAGAGACAGCTGTGGAAATTCCCCCGGAGAATCCACGAGGATATAAGCAGGGCAAAAAGGGATGTTCAGGGTCTGTGGAAAGGGACACGGGCCATCGTCGCTGTCTTCACGTCATCACTGTCTTCAAGTCATCGCGGTCTGCTCGGTCGTACGATCTCCACGTCGGCGTCATCTCACGACGACGGGGTCCTAAGCTACGTTACGTGAAATAAAAGGAACCTCTAAAGTTCTAGTCCAGAGACGTTACACATGTACAGTCATCATTGTTCGCTGCTGCAATATGCCTCCGGGTGGCCCTATAAATAGAAAGGACTTGCACCTGTATGGCCCCAAGTCCTGTTTACCGTTGGAAAGTTTGTTGCACAATAAACGTGGACAGTTTCCTGTTCCTACCCACTCAGCAACGCGTCACTGATGATTCACTTCTTGAGTCGCAACGCTACTCAGCGAACATGATTAACAATCGTAAGAATCTGGAGCACCTCGAGTCATTTACCCTTTACAGAATTGGCATGAGTCTGTATTAGCTTTCAAAAAAATGTTAATCAGCAGCATTTGTTTAAGAAAGCAAACTTTTGGCCAGTTTTGACATTCTGGGCTGCATCAGCAGAGTCAGACTTGTTAAACAGATCCTGCTGTGTTGCCAGATGTTATTGGTAAGAGCACTTCATCTAAACAGAATTAGACTTTACCCTAGGGGACTCCAATGAGCTATGAAGCGCTCTTTCACAGATGTCCAGTAGGGCAGGGTCAGCTAGTTAAGCAATGTGGGCCCCAATTCAATGCAAAACTCCACAGCCCGCATGCCCAGCCACTGCATGCCTAAACATCTTTTGTTTGGCCAGATAGAGGGGTTAAACGGGCGCGGCACAGGCTAGAGAAGAGATGGAGTGATGTGGTACAAGAGGATGTGGAGCTGAGTGGACTTGCCGATGACTGGTACCAGCCGTATCAATATCAGCCTCTGTGGAGGAGGCTCGTGAAGGACGCTACTGAGCAGTTGGAGGCAGTCGCCCTCCAACAACAACGGATGGCAGAGGAGCGATGCTCACAACAAGCGGATTGCCAGGTGGTTAAAGCACAGCAACTTGGCACAGTAGGGGGCACAGGTGGTGCATCGGGCAGCCATCTCAGTCAGTCGACCCGTGGTACCTGAGTCTGCCTCGTGACCTCCTGCCAGCGGGCGTTCGACACTTCACGTGGCCACAAAGTGCACATAGCCTGGCACAAGCGTCGTGGTGACGTCACCGCCACTTAGTGGCGAATGGCGGTTGTTGTTGTTGTTGGCCTGTGGGCGCAGCACTGGCGCAGTGGTTAGCGCACTGTGCTACGAATCAGTCGACCTGAATTTAAATTATGCCCAAAACTAACATATACATCCGAATCAGTCCTGGGCATCTCCTTGGTCGACTCAGCCTCAAATGATGTGGTGGTGTGTGTAAACGTCAACACTGGGGAGACAAAGGGAACCTGGTGTGACGCTGACCATATGACCCTCATCGTGTGTCACGTCGGCTTTAATAGGTCCTCCTACTAGCATTTGACCCATCAGCCAATGTGTCTATTCAGTGAATTTTTATCTTTCTTATTGGCCCAAAAACGGACCTAACGTCAGAACGTTACTCAGGAGGTGATGCAGTGGACTCACCTTCTTGGAGCGCCTTCATAATATTATCGGAAGTTTTGTCAAGTAACAGATCGACTTCGAATCCGATTTTGCCCAAAAGCCTGGTCATTAACTGTTCATCTCTCTGGGAGCCTTCTCTATCCTGCAGCTCCAAGCTGCTCATGAAATGCACCATGTTAATGATCAGCGCCGTCCCACTCGACACCTCCAGGGGTGAATCATCTCCACCGGACAATACCATTTCACACGTCTCAAGCGGCATCTTCTCTGTCCCTGCACAAACATAATGACGATTGAATTAGTGCTTTGGTGAAAGTCAATTTGTTTAATAGAATAGAATAAAATACCATCCTGGTGACGCCGTTTATAAATAGGGCTAGGATTTTGGGGAATTGTATTTTTTAGAAAAATGTCATGGCCCAAGGTGTGGGAATCAGACAAGAATTCACGAAAACGGTCACAGAATAAGGTATAAGTATCTCTCACCATGAAGTAGGGTATGTAATAGTTTCTACAGCTATTTTAAACATTGCACTCGATTTTATGAAAATAAAACCATTTCCAGGACCACCGTGACCTCCATGCCAAAGTTTTAGCCTTGTATAGTATGCATGTTGACCTGTCCATCCCTGTCAACACAAACTGTTTACCCGTATTCTTGTACAGGGAAATTGAGTTTTCAGGTCCATACGGGGTAGAGGTGTTTCTCTCTTGTGATGGGACTTTTTAGAATGAACACTGATATTTATAAGGGCACGGAGTGACGAATAATATCTGAATTGGTCTGTAATAAGGTAGGCCCTGACAAGGGGTTGACAGATGTGTGTTTCGCACCATGCATAGCCAACCGTGCTAAACGGGTTACGTAACCACGGGATATACATCCTCTCGGTGTCAAAGTGAAAGGTCAAAACATACCCATCCTCAATTGCGAGTAGGGCAGAGTTATCTCTGTTGGCGGCCCTGAGCCAGTGATGACGATTCAATATTCCTATGACGAGGGTCAGTATATCCATAGTACTCTGATGCATCCTCAAAACATGCAACTGGCCATTCGTGTACAAATAGAAATGGAAGACGATGATGTTGGAATTCCTGTCAAGCAAAAGGTTACTGTATTCTTTGGGTCTTTCGGTAAAGTCGCGTAGAATATGAATTCCTGCAGTCACGAAAGCTTTAAGTCAAGATTTAAAAGGTTACTGCTTTCCCGTCATAAAAAATATACATTTTAATTTGTATCGTACTGCTATTTATGCTGTCGAATGGGCTCGATAATATTACAACTAGTATATGTATGTGGTGCAGCTGTTCGCGCACTGCGTTACGAATCCGGCTACCCGAGTTCGATTCGCGCTCACGGCCAACACCGGTGACGATTATCTGAACCGGTCCTGGGCCTCCCCTAGGTCGACTCGGCCTCAAATGAGTACCTGGTGCGATGTGTGAACATCGCCACTGGGGAGACAAAGGCGGCCGGGCGTGGTGCTGGCCACCCACCCCCTCGTCTACCTCTACGACCATCATAGGTGCTCGCCTTCAGCACTTGCCCCATCAGCCTGTTAAGTGTGTGTGTGTGTGCGCGCGTGGTATGGTAAGTACTTACTGCCAATGCCTGCTTGCGACACTCGATGTGAAGTGAGCCGCTCCTTGTTGAATGCAACCCGCCTGCTCACTCGCCAGGCGTGCTCAACAAGCTCTGCAACGTAATGTTCAGCGTCCTCGCCCCTGTATAAGGTGTTGAGGCACGTGGCTGGCTGGCTGGCTGGCTCGCTACCTGGCTGACTCACGCACGCACACCTGTACAGGGTGTCCGCGGTCGATTTCCTGCCGTGCAATTGGGCGATTGTGCCTTTTTTATGCACCTCCCCCCCCCCACTACCACTCATATCCCCCACCCACACAATCCGTGCTTGACTGCGCGTGCTAATCCTACAATCGAGACTTGGAAAAGTTACAGGCATTGCATGTTTCCGATGACAGCGTGTTTGTGTACGTGTTGCCGCCCCGGGAGATCGAACGGGCGACCTCCGGATTACGAGTAGAGCGTTTCTGGTGCCCATTGCACGCAACCGGTGTGCAGCGTTCAAGCTCTTGATACTATTCATGTACGACCCTTTGTCAATCCACTGGTTAATGAATGCCTCATGGAGGGGGGGTGGGGGCTCATAATGGACATATTTCAACTGCCTCTTTCACTGTTCTCTCACCCCCCACCACCCTTCCACATATCCACATTCTCGAAATACCTCTGCCTGTCTCTTCTACTGGAAGCTACTTTCACCGCTGTCTTCGCGTGCGTCATCAACGTTTTCATTGCGGTCTGCAATGTCGCATTCCTGCGCCTCCAATGAGCACGACGTACGGTGCGAAAGAAGTTCAACATACTGTACATAGTTTAACAAATAGGCTTTCACGACCAATATTATCCATAATAAAGTTTTTTTTTTTTGGGGGGGGGGGTTAAATCGCGTAAATATAAATGTGTCATTAAACCCACCACCTCGTCACGCCACGGTGGCAGGATGTTAACTATCTCGCCTGGAATACAGGAGGTCGTGGGTTCGATCTCGACACTGACGCCTGCATATTTGCAGTTTGCACGTCTCTCTCCCCGTGGCCGCGTGGATTCTTCTCCGGGTCCTCCGGGTTTTCCCTCCACATTTAAAAACATGCGCTTAGAGTAGTTGGCGGCTGTCAATGTCCAAATGATAAGGCGCTTTGTTGAGCTATCATTTGTGGCCAGGTCACTTCTGAAAAATTGCTCGATAGCTCAGTGGCCCTTATCTGGTAAAACATTGTTTTTTTTTCTTCAAATTTTCTTGTTGTGGTTTTCACACCTGATGATGATTGCTTGTGTTGCAGTCGAAACGTCCTGATAATTTTATTGTTTTATATTTGTATTACTTTATTGTTTCCCTTCTACGTGACTTTACCGAAAGAACCAAGAATATTCTTTAAAGAGTTTAAATATTGGCAAGAACACTATATGTAAACAAAGGGGGCCCTATTCAACGCAAAAATTTACAACCAAAAGAACGTGGAGTTTTCACCGCCGACTCAAGGAAAATAACATAAATGTGTTCCACTTCATGCTCGAGTCGAATTGTGCCTTGCCGATTGCTAGGTGCAAGCGACCAGTCCAATGTCAGTACTGATATGCAGCAGAGGCATTTCCCGAAACTTCGCCTATTATATACTTTTCATTCTAAGGCCACAGTGTTATTGACAAGTGTGTTGAATTTGTTAGTTGTGCTTTTGTGCATCTATGCCAAATCAGCATTACCAAATCACGTATTCAGTCACTTGGCGTTGCAAAAATGCTTTATTTTTATTTTTGTATCACCGTTCATCGCGTGAAAAAATCCCGGGTAAAAAAAAATATCTCATTAATTCTAGATTTGAAGCTTTCGTGACTGCAAGGATTCATACTCTTTGCTTTTTTCGGTAAAGTCACGTAGGTAAAATAAAAATAAAATAAAACAACTAAATTAAATCACGACGTTTCGGAGGCAACACAAGCTTCCGTCTTCAGGTGTGACAGATTGATACAGCGAACAAAGTTCGCTGTATCAATCTGTATCAATACAGCGAACTTTGTTGTGTCTGTTCCACCCGAAGACGGAAGCTTGTGTTGCCTCCGAAACGTCGTGATTTAATGTAGTCGTTTTATTTTTGTATTATTTTACCTACGTGATTTTACCGAAAAAAACAAAGAGTGAATATATATCTCTGTTTGCCGGTTTTCCGCACGTACAGAAACGCTTCGTGATAAACGTAATTTTTTCACTATTTAGCTGTGACTAATAAAGGGAACAGCCACCCGTGTAATGATTAGCGCACTGGGCTTGCAATCCAAATGTCGCCGGTGCAATATAATTGCCCAGCTCGGCCAATAAAACAATGGGGGAAAAATTTTACAATGGGGGAAGTTTCTGGAAGCCTCGAGCTTGTGTCCACCCGGCGGAACACGTGGATCCACCCCAGTTGATCGGCAGATCTCGTGCGGTGGAGCAATGTGTGGGTACTCCCACCCAGTGCCGGATTAAGCTCGTGCGGGGCCTGTAGCATGATGTTATAAAGGGGCCCTAATTATTTTTAACACAAAATGTAAAAGACAAAAATTTAAAACACAAACGTTTTACTTGCATAGTAAAGTTATTGTAGTTTTTTTCATTTGCTATACAGCCAGATAATACGACAAATCGCTAACCTTAAACACCCGGTCGTTCATAAAAGTTGAAGGCAGTATAGTACTATAGTAATAGAGCAAGTGCAGAATCACTAGGAACCGGAATTGATAGCTTGAAAGCATTTAGCGCGGGACCCTTGAAAGTGCGGGGCCCGTAGCTACTACTTCATGTGTAGTAGTAGCAACTAGTAGTAGCTACTACTACACGTGTAGCTACTACTACACGTGTAGTAGTAGCCACTACTAGTTGTAGCTACTACTACATATGTAAATTTACATGAGGACGCACTTTCTCTTCGATTTATTTTTCTTCTTCGTCTTGCACAGTAGTAGTAGGTGTAGTAGTAGCTACTACTACAGCAGCAGTAGCTACTACTACATATGTAGTAGTAGTAGCTACTACTACATATGTGTAGTAGTAGCTACTACTACATATGTGTAGTAGTAGCTACTACTACAGCAGTAGCAGCAGTAGCTACTACTACAGCAGCAGTAGCTGCTACTACATATGTAGCAGCTACTGCTGCATATGTAGTAGTAGTAGCTACTACTACAGCAGCAGTAGCTACTACTACAGCAGTAGTAGCTGCTACTACATATGTAGCAGTAGCTACTGCTGCATATGTAGTAGTAGTAGCTACTACTACAGCAGCAGTAGTAGTAGCTACTACTACAGCAGCAGTAGCTGCTACTACATATGTAGCAGCTACTGCTGCATATGTAGTAGTAGTAGCTACTACTACAGCAGCAGTAGCTACTACTACAGCAGTAGTAGTAGCTACTGCTACAGCAGCAATATAGCTACTACTACTACATATGTAGTAGCTACTGCTGCTACAGCAGAGAGAGTTTACTCGAACACTGGGCGGCCAGTGTTCGAGTAAACTCTCTAGATCAGAGGTCGGCAACCTGCGGCTTCGGAGCCGCATGTGGCTCTTTACAGACTGCTTCGTGACGTTGTGTATGCATGTATGTATTCACATGAATTGTGGCTCTTGAAATATTGTGATTTGTACCGAATTTATTGAGAAAAAAAATGTCTCTTCTTGTTATCTTGGTTACCGACCCCTGCTCTTGATCTTCTTATCGTCGAGGGCCCTTCCACGAGCAGTGGCCGTGAGCAAGCAATTGTAGGGTTGAACCTTTACCTTCCGACTCAGAAGCGAGGGCAAATCTACCAGGCGGTGACTCATGCCTCCGTGGCGCGTGCCAACCATCACCACGATTGCGAGATGTTAACTACCTCGCCTGGTGTACAGGAGTTCGTGGGTTCGATCCCGACCCTGATGCCTGCTGTATATTTTGTATGATTGGAGTTTGCGCGTCTCTCTCCCCGTGGTCGGGTGGATTTCTCCGGGTCCTGCGGGTTTTCACCTCCACATTTAGGATCAACACGCGCTCAGAGTAGTTGGCTGCTGTCAATTTCCACGTGAGCGATCATTTGTGATAGCCAGGTACTTCTGAAAAAAATATATATCGCTCAGTGAACCTTACCTGCAGGTGAAGTAAAAAAAAATAGTGAAATAGTTGCATTCATCGTTAAATTTCCACTGGAAATAATTCGCGGTTTCTGGCATCCCAGTGGGTTTTGGAGGTTTAGCAAATCAACACAATCCACCAACCCTTGTCTCGAAAGCACTGCGGCACAGGTGCGTGTGTGCTACTCCCTGCGAACGTCGAATGCAAGAATGAAAAACACCTGTTAAGCGGTACTTTGGGGCTTGATCGTTGTGCAATGTTAACAATTGCACAATACCAATTGTATTCTGGAGCCCAGCTTGTTTCCAGGTCACATAAAAATAATAAAAGAAAATCTGACACTTTCACATTGGCCCACAAGCACAATGCCCCTTTTTCTTATCAGGGAAAATCCCCATGGAGACACAATACTTTTTTTTCAGGAGGATCTTGTTCTGGGACGTTTGGCCAACAACATTCATGGGTGTTTGGCGTGCGGGAGTAAACCAGAGTACCCGGAGAAAACCCACAAATTATTAAGGGTGTGTGTCAGTCCAATGCTTGGCGCATAGATTCAATGCCATTGCCTTGCTGCCATCTCCTAAGACGCCTTTCAACTCAACGAAATTGGGAAGATTCACAAATGTGTGTGATTTGCCGACCATTGTCTCCTTACTTCAAAGGGATGGATCGCTGACGTGTATTATTGCGTGCATCCGAATATAGTGTTTTCATGCCCTCTGTGAATTGTTTAGTGCTCACTGACTGCCGAGTGAACTGTTCGCACACAATTCGTGAACATTGCCCTTGACTTCTGGCTGAGTTGACAAATAGCGATAACGGCTGAACGGGCTAAAACAGCGGGAGAAGTTGATTTATTTATTGAAGGTGACAAATGCGGGGCCCTGGTTGCCCAATGCAATGTTATCTCTCCTGTCACATAGCTCCGTGAGAAGACGGATGACTGGGAAAAAAAATACGGCCCGATTGATCACTTCTCGTAAAATCTAACTGGAGTGTAGATATCCTGTTTGACATGAGCTGTTTGCAGTGCCCCGTTTCCCACTTCTAAACGGTGCATGTTCTTTGTCGTGCACATTACACACAGAGAGTGCTTGCCACAAATGAACGACAATACCTTGCTGATATGGTCAAGAAGCAAAAACCATCACGCGAACCTTGCACAGAAATGCAGACAGTTTATCCGTTTGCAATTAAGTTTTTTCTTCCATCTCTATTCACTCCAGACCGCTCGCTGTTATGTATCTATCTGGACACCGGCTGAGGAGGTAGAGATAGAAGAGAGAGGTCTTGAGGCTGGACTTGAAAAACAGCTGGTATCCGACCGACAGCGAAGATGGCCGGTGTGTGAGTTCCAGACATTGAGAACAGCAGAGAAGCAAAAGGAGCAACCTTATCATCTACTGGCACGTGCCTCTGTTTAAATATGCGCAGTAAGTTTAGGATTTTTGCTACGGCGCAATGATATTATTTCGCTCATTTTACCAGCGTTCATTTATGAGTGGAGTGAGCAGTTGTAGCGAATTGTGTAACAATGCATTGCGTGCGGTTTCAAGTCTGCTCATGAGTAGACTTTACGTTACTGTATGTAGTCAAG